TAGTACGGCAGAGGTTTTAGATAGGCCTCGAACCCTACCAAGGTGGTTAGTGTGTCCATTCCACACTGCCAATTGGTACTGAAAGTGCCTGGCATTTTCAGGGCGCYGATCAACGCTTTGATTTGATCCGTTGTACTTTTGAGTACCGTGGAGTAAGGCTGTCGTCAGCAGGTACCCACGTAAAATTTTCCGGTTGTTGTCACCGCTTCCCTTGTCGCTCTAACAGCTTCACCAATAAACTTGCGTAAATATGTACATACATATGTACCCTGCCAACCACGGCTACTTAATTGCGTCAAATATTTCAATACAACTACACATTTTCTCTCTATCCACTAACACCAACGCACATTTTCGGTTTATTTTTTGTTTACCTAAATGCGATGAAAAAGTTTCTTTCATTTCTTGATTTATTTGAATGAGTGCGAAAAAGAAAACATAATTTGTCAATAATGACAAAATAATAATGACAAAAGAAAATCCCAAACAGGGTAATAAAAAAACGATTGAAAGACGCATGTCATTCGCGGTCGTACAACAAGAAGGTAAGTAAAAGAATTTTATGTATTTTGTTTTTAATAATTTGCAAATAATTACTTCATTTTTTTTATTGCATTGGAAATCAGAATGAATTGGAAATAGCAGCAGCAGCAAATATCAATTGTTAAGTAAGTGTGTGAAAAAGTGTGTGTACTTTGAAATTGGACTGCGTAGTCATACAATACACAAAAATAAATACATACATACATACAATGTGTATGTTTTTTATGCGTATAAAGCGGCCTGCAAAATCCAATATAATATGTGAAAACAAATGTTTGTTCTATATTTTAAATGATCAAATAATATTTATCTTTTCTCTCAGATGATATTATTATTTTTATTTAATAATTCTTTCTTTTCAAATTTAATCACTACTTTTATTTAATTATTCTTTGCTTTCAGAGTGAATTCTATTTGCATTTATGTAATATATTAATCTTTTCTTTCAGATATTATTATCATTTTATACAATTAATCTTTCTTTTTCTTTTAGATATTACAAAATCAACGTAATTATTATTTATTTTTAGGTTTTAATATCCTTTACTTTATTTCAGGTATTCGTCTTTTATAATCTTTTTCCACTCATTTAATTTCACTTTTTAATAATTCTTTTCTTTAACAAAAATTAATGAAATTATTATTTTTTAATTAAATATATTGTACAGATAGCAATGTTAGCTTTAATTTATTTAATTGTAACAAAGTTTAAGTAAATATGTACTATAAATAGTTAAATTAATAATTAAAAAGTTTTGTTTGAAATTTTAAGAAATTTTTAAAAAAGGAATCAAAAAATGCAACCCTGCATCAGCTGTTTAAAATGCAACTGCATCAGGCGTCGATTGGGGATATTAGAGCAGGACAGATATACTTTTTTATACACTGCCGAATGAGCGCAACAGAGATGTACGTGTGAGGGAAAAAGTGGGTAGAATCTTCACGGGGCCTCTGGCCTACTTTAGTTTATACTTTATACTGCCACTCATGATTGGCAGGGCATACGTATACATATCGAAGCAGATTTTTGCGAGCCACGAAAAAATATTTTAGAATTGAAAAATATTGTAAATCGACAACAGCTATGTTGCCACTTTTCTCACTTCTTTCTGTGAAGAAGCATCAGAAAGTTGTTCAATTTATGATTTTTAGCTTTTGCCAACATCGCGAAAAGACGCTTATAGGCAAAGGCATGCTCGGGGATATGTAATGGTGTTTGTTTTTATGAACAAAGCAAGTTTAACTGTTGAAAGTTCGCTTGCATTCATGAATGAATATGTTGTTGTGTACTTTTCTAAAAATTTGGGCATCCACTATTTGGCTGCCATATTGACTTGTGACGCTGCTGATGCTATTTGACACGTTTCTTGTTTTTATAGAACAATATTTGTAGTTTATGTGGGTGACATACTAGATTTACATGTGTACTCAGATATGTACAGTGACTCACACGGCTAACCGGATGCGTGCATTGCCAATGATGACACCCTCCAATCATATAGTGAACATCTTAAAGATTATACATATGATACATCAGATTAAAGGAAAAATTTTCTATTTTATTTTCGGAAACTTAAAAATAGTAATAAATTTATTCACTGCATATAATTTAGAGAAATAACTTGCAACATACAAAATTCGTTCCACACAACTAACCGCAAAATGTGAGTAAGAAACATGACAATTGTAATATATTAAGTTGTTGTATGTCATATACTACAAATATACATATTAGCCTGTTCGTTAAAAATTTTTATTCGAAATTTTTATCACGAAAGCTGAAAATAGTTGAGAATTGATAAGAAAATGAATCTACGAAAATTTCACGCCTGTCGCACCACGCCTTATAGTGCCGATAGAAAATTGTATTGTTAATTGAACGTCATTCATACCCCAATGGTACATTCGCTGAATTATGTATGATACATTACACAAAATTATAATTATTTACAGCTTTTAAAAGCTTGTTTTGAACAATTCGGATACATTTTCCTATGTTCTTGTATGCGTTGTATGGTTAGCAATCCATGGTAATCTTGCATTAGTTTTACGGCTCTTTCTGCGGTGTCGTTAACTACTTTTAGAGAGTTTATTAATTTTTTGCCATCCATATATGAAGCCTGCRTCTGCCATGTTTCTGGGTTGAAATCCAAGAAGCTGGTATCTATCTGTAGCCTTGAAAACAATTTGAGACTGTTGGAAGATATGAAATGCTCCATGGTCTCGTCTGTAAGACAATAATTTAAGAATAAAGTAAAAATTTAAGAGTATTATTCTCATACTATACCTAACAATTGTCCCATGTCTTGTGAACTTAGAATAAGTTTTTTGCATCCATCGCATCTGCCGGGTTTTTTAAGAGCACTGACCATTTTGACTTTTGTCTCTACTGATAGTCTGCCATCAAAAACGGCT